TTAAATGTTATTTTGGATTCTTTACAATTGACCATATACATGAACATATCAATAGATCTTATATCTACAACTACTGTTCATACTAAGGTTAATCGACACACAACACAATTTATCCAAACAAGATAAAAGTGTTGAAATTGCAATCATTCCTGAACATTATACATGGAAACGCTATGTCATGAAATTGGAATAGAAAAATCAGTTTCTTTCCACTCAATATTTTGATATTAGTTGGTAAGTGTCTTTTTTAAATAAATATTACCATTTTGTCATGTAAAGAAATTTGTTTGCTGATAATCATTGGTGTTACTTTCATCTGTAATTCTTTCATGGTCATGTAAATGATCATGATGATAGTAAGCATGCTCTGTGAACGAATCCTTCTCATATATCCCTACAGATGTATTCCTAACAACTGCTTTTTTTTAAATAGAGATGTATTAGATGCAAAACCCCTTTAACCAAGTATCTTTTTCAGTTTTATTGAACGTAACACATTGTTAATAAATGTATTATCGATCTTTAATAAACTGCGGTTTAGAGAGTATCTAATTGTATCATATATCTTGATCTATGAGTACAAATGGAGTAAGCATTCCAAATGTAGGTTCAAGTTGTTTGTATTCCGCATATGTATTTTATTTCTGTATTTTACTTTCTCAGTTATTTCTGTTTAAAGCTTTTGTTTTTGGCTATACATTAATGTTCGTTGATAATCCCGTTGTTCAAGAGATATAACAAAACAAAAATACTCATTTAAAGGTGGTCCTTTTAATGGAATGATTTGTTTACAGTTCAAAACAACATGTGTCAGCAAAGCATCGTTCTAATGTTACAATGAATATACGTCAATATGAGAACAACCCTAAAACAACACAACAAGCGAAAGAGATTCCGATGTAGTAATAACATCCCAAACGATAACCAATTGTACCTTTACTGTCCATTTTGTTTTTGTAATTGTACATTATCATATGTTTATTTAACCACTGTTAGGCAGTCCGTCTTTTTTTAACAAATCATGACTATCCCCAAGCTAGAAATTAAATAAGCACGAACATCTATTTCAAAATGTTTATTATAAAGCAAATGGGTATATATGATACTAATAAAAGCTATATTAATATAATCATTCAAACAATATAATTGTACCTGCAATTATTTATATTTCTTTATGTTTCGACAGAATCAGAAACAAAAACTGTCTCAATAAATCAAATAAATCAAATAAAACCTTATCATGTGGTCTGTTACAAAATATTAATACACATTAAGGAACACTCAATTAATTGATTAACAATCATTTAATAATCAATAAAATTTATGTTCATATAAACGCCATCGAGCTACGAAAAACAGCAATGTTGTACCATGATATGATGTTAAGAAATTATTTGTTTTTCAATTTCAAATATCAAAATGATATAGTAATTTCATCTTTACCTAGTTGTCTGCGATGACTAGTTATGCAACAGATGATTTTGAATATTTAATTCACGTGTCGCATTCGCAATCGTGTTTCTCTTTTCTCTCTATATCATCACGTAGAGACGACTATCATCACACGTGTAATAACAGGAGCGCAAGGGCATTTTTTACTAGCACTAGTAAATAGCAGTCATTTGTTCTTAATAACTCTGAACAGTTCTTTGTTTTTTCTGTGCTTTTTCATTTTTGTCATAATATTGTCTCTGTTTAACTTATGGTTACAATTGGCCTTTTTTGTTAGTTAGGATAATTATTTATATAGACGAATTCTTTTACAATGAAAGCAATTAAAGCAATAGGTTTTACATGTTTACAAGTCAAAGCTACGAAAGGAGATTTACCAGGATCGTTTCCCTTATTTTAATCATACCCCCACGGGACTTTGTTCCGTTATCATGGTTTTTGACCAGTCTGTCAGTGCTGTTCTTTTCACAAAACTCCTCTGAATATATGAGTTATGCCCATATACTGTTAGCCCGAACATACTACTGCAACAGTTTTTCATTGCAACTTATCTGAAACCACACAACAGAATTTTATGAAAATAATAAGGACGTACATGAAGTAGTTTGTAGATGTGTATATCCACAATAAGCGTTGTATCAGTTGACTCTTCTAGAAGTTATGGGTCTTTAAACTTAGGAATCTGGTGAGGTTTGTTTGCCTGTGGAGAATGTTTGGCCATTGGGTATGCAAACGTGCTCACATAGGTTTCTTTGATTGGTTTTATGACCTTAATTTGGTATCTAACACGATTTATGATATTTCTTTTGAACATTAGCATATTTAGAGTACATACAATCTAAGACTCTCTCATCTTGCAATAGCATTAAAACATTTGACTTTTCTACACTTTACACAAGTATTCCCCATTCCAAACTAAAAGACAAATTGAAAGAGTTGGTATTACTTTGTTTCATTAAAAAAGAATGGCGAACGTAGATACAAGTATCTTGTCTTGGGGAGGGATAAATCCTACTTTGTAAAGAATCAATCTGATTCAAACAAAAAATTCTCTGAAACTGACATTATCAAGATGCTTGATTTATTGATTGACAACATATTTATTACGTTTGGAGGACGTGTTTTTCAACAGACTGTCGGAATTCCAATGGGAACCAATTGTGTCCCTCTTCTTGTCGACTTGTTTCTTTATTATTATGAGGCTGACTTCATACAGGAGCTTCTTAGGAAGAGAGATAAGAAGTTAGTAATATCCTTTAACTCTACGTTCCGTTATATAGATGATGTTCTCTCACTAAATAATACAAAATTTGGTGACTATGTTCAATGCATTTATCCCATCGAACTAGAGATAAAGGATACTACAGATACAGTTAAGTCTGCCTCATATCTTGACTTACATCTAGAAATTGACAATGAGGGTCGGTTGAAAACAAAACTTCAAGACAAAAGAGATGATTTCAGCTTCCCAATTGTGAACTTTCCATTTCTATGTAGCAACATTCCAGCAGCGCCTGCATACGGAGTATATATCTCCCAATATGATATTCACGGGCTTGTGTTTCCTATCATGATTTCCTTGATAGAGGATTGCTGCTCACAAGGAAGCTATTAAACCAAGAGTTTCAAATGGTGAAGTTGAAGTCATCCCTTCGTAAATTTTACGGACGCCATCACGAGTTGGTTGACCGTTATGGAATAACCGTTTCACAGATGATATCGGATATGTTCCTTTTGTCGTAACTACAATACCCTTCCCTTTTCACGAATGTGACTTACCGAATTAGACTATTTACCGGATTTGTAATAACATAAGCAACACGACGGGTGCCACATGTGGAGCAGGATCCGCTTACCCTTCCGGAGCACCTGAGATCACCCCCAGTGTTGCTTAGTCTTTAGTTTTCTATGTTGTGTCATCTGTACTATTATTTGTCTGTTTGTCTTTTTATTTTTGGCCATGACGTTGTCAGTTTGTTTTCGATCTATGAGTTTGACTGTCCCTCTGGTATCTTTCGTCCCTCTTTTAATGTCACAAGCTTGAGACCAGCAATCAATCATTCATTAAGGACTTTCGCAAGTCTAAAATAATTCAGAAAAAAATAATTTTATACACATATGAACCCAAAAACAATGATATATGGATTGTTTGTTGGTAAAACATTCATTTCCGTAACAAACTTAGAGCTTAAAGTTAAGAAGATCAAACAATAAGTATACGGATCAAATACGAACGAATTCAAACAAAAATATTACATGAGAAAAAGTAATTGACCAACAAAATACACAGCATAATATAACACAATGAATAGGGCACAACATTATCAACTCCTTTGCGATCAAAACATATCAATATGTATATACATTTACATTGCTGAATAGTTGTTTTCTATTATTTATCACATGGATTGAAGAGTACTCGTGAATGTTTTAAAGTTCACATTTATGACACATAATGATATAACAAACACTAAAACAAAAAAATTAAAAATTTTGCATTAACCGAATGCTTGAGTGCGAGCTCATATATAGATGATTCATATATAATACAGAAGGTTACATTAATTTTAAAAATAAAGTTGAAAGGAAAGTATGCCATAATTGTGATACTTCGCAAAAAAGCAACATATCATTAAAATATAAATGTGTATTTATGTTTAAAAGCTTGTTGTGAATATGTTAAGTAACTATGTACATGTAGGAATAAAATGAACACTCAAACTATAACTTAAATACCGCAAAATCAAAACAAAAAGTGATAGTTATAATTCTTTCTCAAATCATAGTTACCTGCTTGTACATTACATGTAAATTGTGCAAAATAAAAACGCGTTTAATTGGACATTTAATTCTGATTTTAAAGAATCACACTATGAATATACTTTTTTACATTGTCGAATTGTTGCTTTTAATTATATGTCACATGGAGTGTATAGTACTCGTGAATGCTTTAGAGTTCGGATTTCTGACAGATAGTGATATAACAAACACTGCAAGAAGAACCCCCAAAAAAAAACCATCTTGTCTAAAGTGGATGTGTTAGTGTGAGCTCGTATATAGATACTACATATACTATATGTGAGCACATAAAGAGGTACCACATATACTTAGCTTAAGGTAACATTATTCTCAAAATAAGGTTGCAAGACAAGTATGCCATAATTCTGATAATAAGCAAAAAAGCAACACATTATTAAAGAGAAATACGGATGGCTTGTATTTATGTTTCAAAGCTTGTTTTTTTTATATAATGAGTTACTTTGTACATGTAAGGATGAAAAGAACACGAAAACATAGCTCAAATACCTTGGAATTTAAAAAAAGTGGTGGGTATTATTCCATTTTAAATCGTAGGTATCTGCATGTTCATTACATGTTATTTTTATAAACTAAAGTCACGTTTTCTTCTGTTTAACATCGACAATGTGCGTTTGGTTTTTAAATTAAGATAAAGACACATTTAGTATCAGTACTAAACGCCTGCCAATCCACTGTGTCATTGTATCTAGGATACATTGATTCACAAGTCACATGACCAGTGAAATTGGAATGACCACAATTTATTTTAATTTAGTCATTAAGATTGAATGTGCATATATGATACAAATTAATAATGATAATAAGTAAATTAGTATTTCAATAGTAAAAATAATAATAAAAAGGCTTTTAGTGTTGAAACCATATTTTGATGTGAAACAGATGATCTTGGATAAAATGTGTTAACGTAAAACTAAGACATTACATACATGTAGCTACAGTGTGTAAATAAGATGAACACAATGAAAAAAATAAGCAGAAAAAAATAAAATACAAGGCCAATTCAAAAAGCGGAAGTCCATAAAATTATTTATAAAAAAAATATTTTATGTGAATAAAAAGAAATCTGTGAAAAAAAAAATTGAAATAAAAGATGAAAAGAAATGTTTGATAGTATACGTTAAGACATTTAAAAGAAAAACATGGTGCTACCGAACTTGTTTTCTTGCTAGAAGTAAACAATGCAATTTCTTTAACTTTCATTCATGACAATAATACTGTTTGTGTTATCTCCGCTTAAATTGGTAAGTTAAATATTGATTCGAACAAACAGAAATATTTGGTATTTGTTGAAACTGTCTAAAAAATGAAATATATCACTAAACTTTCTTTTATTAATTGCAAATCTGTCTCAAAATTTACAAAGAACTAGACCGATTGCGTACTATTGTTTTTTTATAATCCAAGAGGGCGGTAAACAGCTAATCTACCTTTATGAAGATTTCCTAGTTCAAAAGATGGATTGGTATTTGTATCAATGCATTTATATTTCAAGGAATTGTCTATACGTATTATGTTGTCCGTTCTCAGATGACTTCAATACAATGTTTTGAATAGTGTCTTTTAGATGCGTACAAGAGAAAATCATTCTTAATAGAAATATTAAAAAGTTAAAATAAATCTGATAATGTGTTGTCAACGATTTTTATATTTTTGCCAATGTTACTGAACGCATGCGCGATTTTTCGTAAAGTTGGTTTCAGACTGTGCATCCTGCAAAACTTGAATCTCCATTCTTCTAAGATATCCCGGTTCAATCTTACCAAATCTCTTTCATTTTGCCTATGGCTGATCTGTTCCCAGGTATGAAAATCCATTCCAAGCTCGATTAGGAACGGGAGGGAGTTTTTGCCTACCAATGGAGCCAATCTGTCAATGTGTTCTGCTGTAGGTACCAAATCCCACTTCTCAGGTTCAATGTCTGTGTTGTTCAAAGATAGAAAAAAAAACATATTTGCTACATGTTTAAAATTTGTTTTAGAATATTTCGAAAAATTTGAAAAATGGAAAACTATTTATGTAAACACAAAGATAAGTTATTTGGTCTTATTTTTGGGACTGCAATACGTATAAGTAAGTAAGGTATGATTGATGTTTCAAGCACAATATAAAAGAGATGCATGCATTTTAAAACTCTTATGGATGCAAAGGACACACATGCATAACATAGGGAAGACTTAAAACATGTGAATTATATCACCGTTCAAATGCCGACAAACATACCATGGCCATTGGTTACTCAAAGCACTACTGAACACAGCCATTATTGTTGCATATAGGATAATAGTGTGGAGTATTAGGGTATCTTTATCAATCGTATAGCTTGTCAAATGTAGATAATGTAAGTTCAGACATAAATGCGTGCATATATCATTAAAAACCAATGATTACTGGCAAAAATGTGACGGAACATTCCCTACAAAAATCTCAATGCATTTTTCGCATTTATCAAAACATTGCATAATTTTTCGGTACTTCTTGCTAAACGTTTACTCTGGTAGAATGTATATAGATTCCCTTTATCAACCAGGTCTTTTAGAACCTAGTTAATGCCTGTGATACATCGTTGTTCATATAAAGACGCTGCAATAAAATACATACATATCTTAAAATTGCTTCTTAATATTACGGACAATCTATATCCACAATCATATAACTACACCTCTTGGAAAATACTGGATTCATATTACTTACCAAAATAAATAGGTTGGCCTTTCACAAGCTGAAAAATCAAAAAAAATTATTTACACAACTGTCATTAGATCGAAAACATTTGTGATGTACACTACAGTCAAAATGTTTGTTATATGAGCATACTTCATATTAATTACAAAAACATAAAATAATTGTCAGATTAGAGATAAACACGTTCTTTTTTATTCATATTTCTAATTACTTCTATGCGTATACGTAAATAAATTTAATGCTGTGTATTATCAAGATGTGTTTCAATTCATACATTAGTTCTGCCAATTTACTTATCAAATTGTATGTGTGTCAAACAGATGACATTGTGTTTTTTTTTTCTGTTCTCAGGTGGAATGATTGGAAAATTTTAACATAAGATTATTGATGTTTCTACTTGTTTTGTCTGTAACGTGTTGCATTAGAAAACCATTAGTATCCTCAATGCATTCATGATGATTATCAATGTTCATCAAACAAGTGTGAGAGCTGTTCTGATCATATTGTAGTTTTTACTTTTGTCTGATTTAAAAGCCTCAATATGTTTTTTTATAGGATGCTAACTATTACAGTCGCTTGTCCCATTTTTCAAATGTTGTAGGTATTTCATTCCTATAAATAAATATTTATGTCTTTCGAAGTGTTATAAAAACACATGTTAATCAAACTGTTTTTCCGACAAATTTTTGTTTGTTTTTCATGTTGTTGGTTTTGAATTTTGTTTTCACCTTACATGTCATGCATAGTCATCATATTTACTTGTTTACCCTCAACATGCTCAATATGCGTAATATAGAAGATGTTCGGATTTTTTGTGTATTTGTTTGTCTGGTTAATATATTCAAACTAATATTGTTATAAAACATATCACATACAACAAACTACACTGATTAGACAAACAATGTTACTAAATGTTGTGATTCATTTAAAAAAATGTACCTTGCAAAGTATGTGGATACTTTCTTTTCCAATTATCTGTAATGCCTCTTTGAAGTCTTTGAATGTCACCATCCTGCTATCTCGACATTGTCTCAAAATTTCAAAACATGCAGTCTTAGGATCTTCAGTTTCAAATATTGTTTCAACTTCCCTGTTCGACAATCCCAGATGTATTGCCATCTCTTTAGCTTCAAATGGACTGTACAATAACGACAGACGACGTATGTGTAGGTCTGATGGTGTCGCTTTCAGAAACTCCTCTTTAGTAACTGTCTCGACAATACAGCATATGTATCATATACCAACATGATTGTTATTTAAAAACATATGTAAGAAAGTCAGTAGACAGTTTGAGGAGATAAATCTTACCAAAACACCGAAACATAATATCACAGATACATATTACTATGATATAAATAACATCCTTAAGAAACAGACACACGCTTATTTTATACAAACATTATATCACAAGGAAAACGGATACAATCAACATTATTGCAAACTAAAACTAAAAGATATATATTATCTTCAAATCAGGTTTTAAAATGTGCGCCGGATAACTTTAATGTCTTCCTAAAATTCATTCCGGCCTGTGAGAAATCAAGTCCTATCAGATGGTAAGAATGGTATGCAGAAATATATGTCTACGATATAATGTTATGGTCTGCAGAAATATATGTCTACGATATAATGTTATGGTCTGCAGAAATATATGTCTACGATATAATGTTATACACCATTCTGGTAACGGGTCATATGTTTATGATTCAAAAAGAATATTATGTAATGCTTTCTTGGTAACGATTCAAAAGGTTGATCATGTAATGCTTTCCTTGTTACGATTCAAAAGGTTGATCATGTAATGCTTTCCTTTTTATATCAGCCGTTTGTCTTTAGCAATGATATATGTTTAAAACATGTAATATTGACAATCCACTTTTATATATGCCACAGTTTAACATCGAACTGAGTAATAAATAGATTTAAGATAAAGTTAGCAGTGCGAGAGAGAAAAGTAAACAAAGACCAATACTTGAAAAAAATTACCACATGATTCGACGATAATGCAATGAAAATTGACAAGATATCTAAATATTGTCAAAATCATTTGATTATCATATGCACACGGTATAGCGCATTTTGTTTTAATAAATCATGACAAAAACTCCTGTATAACTACATTCAAGGAAACACTTGATATATCTACTGCGTCCCAATTGTTTGCTTACCAACGGTACCTTGGTGTCCGTACACATGCAATGTGACCATAAAAGTTAGGCTAATAATAGCCATATCTATATACGGTAAAATTTGCTTGATGGAGTTAAAAGCATATTTTATCAAAACATGCTCAGGGTATCAACTTCGAATTTTGAAAGGTTTGTATTACATAACGTTAGTACCGAAACTTACAGAGACATGAACAGTGAGACTCGTCGACATTAAATGTGTCCTTTATCTTTTCTTCAGAAAAAAGTTGTTAACATACGAACATTATTTGTTGAACAGTGCTAATGCTATCACACGAAACGATACGAAAATACAACTATCAAAATGTAAAAAGTTGAGAGGTAATTAGTATTCTAAAGCTAGTAGTCCTCCAACAAATTACAAAAAATATGAAACTATAAATCACGTTATTCGTTATTCAACAATACCTGTGCACCCAGGTTTGCACTTTTCTTCATCCTGAGGAAAAAAAAGTAAATCATAAACTTATTGAAAGACAATTATTTGATTTTATACATCAATTCGGTATACATAATTAGAAGGTTTACCGCCAAATTGATGGGATAGAAATTGGAAAACGATCGTAAAATCTACAAACTATCTTTGTATTAGCACACATCAGGCTTGACATAAAGAATTTTCCCTATTCGTACATTATAATTGGTTCTCAGAGTATATATGCATCGTAACATTTCATTTCCATATGTGTATCTATTTAAAAGGCATGACAAATAAAGTAAAACGGGAAGAATACAATTTCGAGCATTTCACCAAAAACAGGTGTTAAGTTTGATCATCATAATTAACGTTAAGTTGCTATTATCTTTTGGTTAACAGAAAAAAAAAATCATTTTATCAGGCAGTACATTTTTTTTCTCGGATCTTAACGGTCAATTTGATATAAATCTAAACGATAAGCAAGTTTATTGATGTAAAATTGGAATGTCGAATCGATATAGGTGTGTATTCATTTCATTATTTTGACTGCCATTTCCACAAAAACAAACATTCCATCACATATATTACTACCTTTTCTGTAATCCATGATGTCATTGTGTGTATCCTGTGTTCAATGCCATGTGAAGGACATATCCACACTTCTTCTGTGTTAGCTAGATCGTTGACTTGGAGGAAACATGGGTTATCTGGTGAGTTACAACATATCAGGGTCATAAAGGATGCTTCACTGGTTTGAGTCTGGTCGCTACTTGTTCTTATATACAGCTGACTTATTTTCTCTAAGGCTGATGTTAGACATTCATAGATACTGGAAGCTACATCCCTCATTATAAGTGAGTTTGATGTGGCATGAACAAGACGAGCAATGATAATCTTATCTTCGCAGGCAATGTACATATCTAAAGACGGATCAATGGTGAACACCCCTGACCTATGGAACAGCATGTCCTTGTTGGGCTCTCCATATGTCTTCACCGCCCAGACATATAGACAGTAGCTTATAAATCTAAAAGATAATGCAGGAGGTATCATCAATGATGACGATTGAAAGGCTATGGCAATACTCCTGTGTGTGAAACCAGCTGATTGGAGGTATCCAGAATCATCTTCCGCTCGTATCATACTAGCAACATAGTAAAACTCAGCAGGGATACGGTTGCGGTCTGAATCGTATCTTTTTGGTTCTACCAATATATCCAGGTGGGTCATGACATCCAGTAAATAATCTTTATCTTTGTAGAATTTCCGATATTTCTTTTTTTTCCAAACGGTTTTGATAACTTTCTTTGAGACTACCCCTTTCTTGCCCATTACATCCCACAACTCTTCCCTTTCTGTGTCTCCTTGGCAGAACCTTCTATCAGTAACAATAGATTTAAATGCATCAATGAGAAGAGTGGGAGTTAGAATTATTCTGTCGTCCAATTTATGTTCATCAAAGTACAAAAGCTTGCCAATGGAATGCTGAAATTTAAGAAATACATTTAACTCAACTTCTGACAATGGTCTAACAGGCTGCAATGCATTTACTTTCTTCAGATGCTCTAGGGTAATCAGGGGAGTGTTGCGCCTGATCAGCGATGCAAATTCTAATTCTAACGGGATAAAGCACTTTGGAAGTGGTTCGCCCCATGTTGGTTGCCTCTCTGATTCTCTGATGATAGCAGCCTTTATCGCCGCCATTTCTGGGTCATATTTGTCTTTAGCGTTTACAAATATTTTATCATCAATCACCAAGTGTTGCATTAATGGTGTTTTGTGAAACATCTTGTAGATTTCTCCAAATATGTAATGTCGTCTTGTTTCAACCTCACTCTGAAAATACACATATTTATATTAAACAATCACTTACATGTCAATGAAAATATTTAATTGTAAGATCTACTTGTTGCTTATTTACTAAATTTACCAATTAAATTATCGAAATCACACCATTACTTGCATTTACAAAACGAGTAAAATCAAAATTATAACACTGGTATCATTTTATAGGAGCAAAAACAAAAGATACGGAATAGATACCCAAATTAAGAAAAAAAATTTTAAAAAAAATTGAATAAATAAATAACATTCGGAAAATCATAATTACCAGGCAGCAATCAAACCTTAGACAGACAATACCCAAATTGATATGCAAAAAACATGTTTCTGGAGTTCAGACAACAAAAACAACTACACAGTACAAGCAGTAAATGCATAAGTAACGATGATGTGTATCTTATACAACAGTCTTTACAAAATATAAACCAGTATGTTTGTAACCGTTTTCTAGACACTTGCCCTATCTACGAAACACGAGTCTGGCGTATTTAAGTAAAACCCAGGCACCTTTTAATGGGTATATGTAAGAATACAGTGTGTATCTCATTATAAAGAAACGAAATATAAAAAAAAAAAAACTAGTTTCTTTAAATATTAAACACAACATAAATGAGGACTTTATTTAGCATTTAAATTGACTATTTCGTAGGGCTAATGTCATGTAGACATCTACAATGTTAGGTAGGAAAATTCATAGATCGACTAGTTGATTGATTGTGAACTAAAACGTTTTTTTATTTGATCTGCGTTTAACGCAATAAACAAACAATTATTTATATATCAAATTAGTACAATAACGATTATGTAATCAAAACAATAAATAATCTCCATTATATATTCGATCATTATACATTATATTTTTTTTACTGCATATTACTCAAAAACCAAACAGTCCATCATTTCAAATGTAGAACGTGTTCCAAAAAATACTTACAGCTTTTATCTGATCTTTGTGCGTTAAAACAACCATAATCTTAGGAAATCCCTGAATACTTCCCTTACAGTATGTTACAATGGTGTTGATCCAGAATAGCAGATAATCTGTTATAATAAACAAAAAAAGAATGATTGTACATAAGGGGAAAGGTATTACAGTCATTTAAATGTATACGTTCTCTACGAAATCTACTGTCTACTAAATAAAGTAATTGAGTGCTAAGTCTTGCAATACTGTACTAACATTTGAAGGTGTTTAAGTTAACAAGCGTATTTTTTTAACATATTTGGAATTGATGTTTATCTTGTTTACTTTTGTTTCACAGCAGTGTGTATTTCAAATGTATGTATGTTTTTACATACCTCTTGACGTTTTATGTCCACTCTTTCCTGGAAGGTACTGTTCATACGGACAGGGATCATCGAGGTTTCTACTACCATCCAATACAATTATGTAAATAGCTCTGTATGTTAAAAATGTCTGATGAGTAGAATAGAACACATCCTGCCCTCCAAAATCCCAGATTATTAGAGGTGCTATTTTTTTGTTGTGTAACTTCTTTTTTCCAACTTTTGATGACTTCTCTAAGAGTTTTTCCTTTGTGATTGACACTTTGACTTCTTTAACTTGTTTAGTAATGCCAAAAAAATGTTTTAGCTTTCTGATAATTCCAGGTTTAGTAACAGTTTCTATATGCAAATCATCAGTGAAATCTGACTTCAAAGAAGCATCATGAGAATCGTCCATTGACTTGTATTCATCAAACGAAGCTTCATATATTTTCCTGTCTTTCGCAGCATCCGAATTGTCGTTTTCAGTTGTATAATATTGTGCTACTTGTTCGTTTCTAGTGCTTAAGTCATCTGAACACTTTTCATCAAAATCAAATCTACCTGATTGCCTTTCTGAAGTACGGGGTTTGCCTTGTACATCTGACTCATATGTGTCATCGTTGTCTACTATTTTTGATTTCTGTCCTGCTACAGGTAAGGTTTGAAAATGAGGCTCGGGCAGTTGTTTGGCTTTCACAGATTCTGTCATGAAGCATTCAGTAGATGACGTGGCATCGAACGAATGTGATTCGTTCGATTTATGTGTCAGCTCTTCTTTGCTGGCTGACTTTGATGCGACCTCTGTAACATCTGATATATTTGAACTGCTTGATGTAGTATCTGCTAATAGAACATTTTGTTTTTGTTTTGTTTTGTCTTCTCGTAAAAGGGATCTGCAAACTGTGATTTCTTCCAGGGAAAAATCTAAATAAGAGATTATCTTAAACTATTCATACTACATTAGATGTGTTGGCAAATTTTAATATAAATGTACCATTTTTTTTTTAAATGTAGGAGATGCATATTTTTATAAGTATAAACGTATTTTTTCTAGTGACCATTCTTCCATTTTTCGGCATTGATTTATAGCTTCCGTTACTTAAATTTCAATGACAAACAATTTTGATACTAGTACATGAAGTCTGAAATAGGTCATGTTAAGAGATGAAGATAACTTGTGTTTTATGCTTTTATAGCTATATCTTTTACGACAAAAAGATCATTTCAGCTTCCCCAAAGAAGGAAAATAACAAAAATACCGAACTCTTAGACTATTCTAAGGACAATTCAAAATTGAAAATCCCTTACCAAAAGACAAAATCAAAAGCAAAAACACATAAACCAACGAAAAACAACTGTCATATTCTTGACTTGGTACAGACATTTCCTTATCTAGGACATTATGGAATAAACCTGGTTTGATAGCTAGCTAAGCCTCTTTTTTATACGACAGTTCCGTAGCATTCATTATATTGACAACAATGTGTGGGAAATTGTGAACTTTCCACTTCAAAATTGAACATTCTAGCGTCGCCTGTATGGATAATACTGTAAACCAACTTATTTGTGCGGATACTTTATTTCGCGTTTAGCCCTTTCTAGTCCATTTCGCGACCTTTTAATTTCGCGATTTTCTAATTTACTTACTGTAGGTTAAAAAGGAAAGGTATGTTGATACCTATTCGCGACGATTTAAATTCGCGTTATTTTTCTACTCGCGAAAGTCGTAAAAATAAATCGCTCGCGAAAATTTGTAGGTTTACAGTATATTGCCAATTAAAACACCTCTACCAGCAGAGCATTTGCCTTATTGTTGTAAATTTTCATGAAAGATGCAAGGATAATAATGAAATACACAAGACGCAGGTCTCGTCTATAGAAACTCATCAGTGGCTCTCAAAATTGAAAACCCGCATGGCCAACCTCATGCAAAATTGAAAAGCATTAACAGCCAACATAAGAAAACAATGAAATCATGTAGGACCATATCGTCTGCTTAAATTGTAAAAAAATATTTAATTCAATTTGTTAGTCATCAGATAGATTTGAATAGCGTTCAAAAAGAAATCAAGGACAGAACCATAAGTATTGATATATTATGGGAGAATGTAATTATTGCAACTGATTAACCAGATTTCTTTTGTCATGAAAACAGAACTGCTTTACACAAATTGATATAGTTAATTTACATCTGTTTAACACGTTGAAATGAATTCAAAATAAAAATAATAAATTAAACTTCGGTGTTTTCATTCGATTTCAAGCATTATAAAGCAATTTTACATCTTAAGCATGACCTACCGATTTAACAAAGTAAAGTTATATTTGATTCATACCTAATAATGTATAAATATTATATTTATTACCACCAAGACTACACTCAAATTTGCTGATAATATACTAGAGATGACATTTCTAAAGCTTAAGGGGCCTCGGTGGCCGAGTGGTATAAGTAGTTACTACTGTAATCACTCGCCAGTCAACACTGAGGTTGTGAGTTCGAACCCCCTCTCGTGCGGGTGCACTCGACTCTAATCTTAATTGAATATGATTGTCAGTTTTCCTATCGATGGTCGATGGTTTTCTCCGGGCACTCCGGCTTCCTCCAGCAATAAAACTTGCATCCACGAAATAGCCCAAAAGCGGTGCGTAAAAGCTGCGTTAAAATACAGAAAATCAAAATCAAATCTAAAGCTTTGATATGCATTTAGACATTTTTAACAAGTCGAAACGCATAATAAAAGCCAGTACCAAGCTTTACAATTGCAATGCGAATTAAGTAATCACCACTATTGCTCAAATTTATATTAAGTGTAATGCACTTTTCATAACTTTCCATTGTTATATTTTATGAATGAATTTTTCTAATGTATTAGTCAAGTGTACCTTACACTAAAAGGAATCAGTTTACAATGGTATATGGACAACAAGCACACATGAGTGGCCAAGACTGATTATTTCAAATACATGGACATATTTTACTGTTAATCACAAAATTATGAAAATAGATGTAAATCTATGTCAAAACTTCACTATTACTCTTACACTTATATTACCATTTAGAGGTATTGATGCATAGTAGGCAACGCCGATGATATAAAGAATGCAAATATTGAAATATACAGATATGCATGTATGGATAACCATCTTCTGTGTTCAATAGTATTGGAGATTGTGTGCTGAACTAAATCACTGTCTTATTTCAGAACATTTTAGAACTCGCCTTGACAGAACTTTTCCCGCATAAGATTTATAACTGAAACAAACATTTCCACCAGACTTGCTTTGGTCGTTGTAATATCATTAGTGGTACTTTCTTAACCAGATGCGCATTTTGACAACACATGTCTCGCAATTTAAGCTCGGAGATAAAACTTTTGAAAATCCAAAAATCCAATCTGCATTAAACATTTAAGGGCTAATAAAACCAACAAAGCACAAAATATGACCATAGCTGTGCAATACATCAACGCTCCAAAGCTTTGTAACAACAAATTTTGATAATACAAAATGCGCATGTTAATGCAAGTACTGAAGTACTTTTTTAGGCTGTTGATACTCGGTGACTTACAGTACACATGCAGTTGTATCGACCAAGGAGAAATAATACCATTAACAATACCAAATTTACCTCTACATAATAAGCTTTTTGACAATGAATGTCTCTCGTCATGGTCGGGGCCGAAATATTTCAAAATATAAATTAAAAAAAAAGTAAAGCTGGT